TTGGGCTTTGGCTTGGTCTTCGCATGACTCTTCGCTTTGCTCTGAGGTAGTACAGGTGTTGCTTTATCCGGCTTGGTAGGCGAAGCTTTGACCTTTGCGGATGGAGCTGCATTAGGCGTTGGTTTCTCAGGTACCTTGGCCGGCGCAGCAAGCAAATCCTTGCCCTCAAGCATCTGGCGCAAACCAATTTGGGTCTGAGTGAGATTTGATTGTTCTCGTCTCCGCATGATGGTACGATCGATGATCTTCATCAGATTGTCGTACGATCGGTCTTCATGATTGTAGGGCAAGTGTTCGTAGTGCATGCCCAACTCCATCTTCATTGCGGGCGAGTCCTTGATCTTGCTGTACAAGCAATCACGGAGAGCTGTTTTGGATGGTATATCTTCTGGTCTCATCCGTCCCAGAACTTCCAACCACGTCTGCTTGAACGTATGAAGTTTGTTGTCGCCTTGGTACTGGAGCTTCACCAGATACTCGAGAGTGATGATCATGTCGAGACGATCATGCGTTCGAAAGCTTTCATACATCATCGCAATGATTTGTCGTCCTTTGATGATCTTCCCTTCGGGCCTGCTGATGTAATCGTTGGCCTTCCGGTTCACCTCCAGGTACAGATCAGCGGATTTGTCACCACCAGCGCGTAGCATTGCGACCATGGCGACTCCCAATTTGACGTCTATGCTCTTGAACTTCTTGTGTCCTGAATCGTTCAGTGCTTCGACATCAGGGAATGGATTGAACGCTGGTGCCAGCCATAACATCCAGTCCTCATGATTTGGGTCGGCTGATGCTCCTAGGACATTCGCCGTGCATACGGACCGCCAGTTGTTCAGGTGAGTGAGAGTAGGCCATGGAGGGACTGTCACTTTATCGGCCTCTCTCCTGGAAATTCTCACCTCCGTGACTTCAGGATCTGCGTCTCCATCAGGATCACGCGCATGAGGGTCAGGATCCGGTTCAGGTTTGCCTCCGCCGTTCCTCTTCTTATCATCATCGTCATCATCAGGCGGATCTGGAGGGTCATATCCCGTGCCGGCCCCTTCATCTCGCTCTCCCTCTTCGTTCTCGTCGCCAGCTTCATCACCGTCATCGTCTCCATTGTCTTCCTGAATCGTTTCAGCGAATAATCTCCACTCATCACGATCAGCTCTGAGACGCTGTTCGGCTTTCTGGGCCTTGAGTACTTCGCTTCGCAGATCAGCAATCTTCTCTTCGTACTGTTCCGCGACCTCTTTCTCGATCTGACGTCTCCTCGCCTCATGGATGGAAGCATCGTAGGTGACAGGGGCACCATTGGGGTCGTTGCCCCTCGTTGATGCGTTAATGCCGTCGATACCAACAGGTCTTGAGGAGCTGGCAGACGCTGTGGACTTTGATCCCAACATCCCGCGATCCTCCAAGAGTTCACGTAGCTGCCGGTCACGCACGGCTGCCGCATCACTTTGCCCATGAAATCCGCTTGGTATGCCAAACAGAGTGGCTGCACTGGGCGTGGAACGCGCATGTGCTGGACTGCTAATGCCTGGCACGTAGTGCTCGGGCATTGCATCCGCCACGATTGGCGTTGAGTAGGATTTATTTACCTCACCTTTGATGCGGCCAGTGAAGAAGTTTCCACCGGTAAATGGGATGCCATCCATCGCAAGGTTCTTGTCCTTGTCCGATTCTGAGAATGCGAACTTCTCTTTGGCGACTGGACTAACTTGACTTGGGGACCGTATTTCAGGGGATCGCACCTCACCTCCTACGGAAAATGCAGGCACTACTTCCTTTCCTACGTGCTCCCAGCCAGACTCAGTAGTCCTCGAAGACATGGGCATGCTCGAAGGCCGTGTCACTCCGCCATGGTAGTTGGAGTTCCGTGCTGCCTCCAATTCGCTGCGTGTCCTCGCTTGAAGATCTTCTTGTGCTTTGAGCGTTTTCCTGAGTTCGCTCAGCTCGTCGTGCAAGGTGGGCAATGCGCGCCTTGCGTGATCCTCATTCTGGTGAAGTCGGTCCTCTGCATCTTGCATCCTCCTCACAGCCATTTTGCGGTGCTCACCAAGACGTTCGCGAAGCCGAAGTCGTTCTTGATCAATGGCTGCGCTGTTTCCAGCTAGTCCTTGGATCTCGTTTACGGCCCGCAACTCCTGATTCCTGACCAGGTGGAATCGTTCCTGCATCGCTTGTAAGGCTTGTTCCGAACTTGCTGTGTTCGACCGGAGGAACAAGTTCTCTCTAGCTTGTTCATGAAGTTCATGAGTCAGATGCTCATACTCACGTGCCATAAGCTCACCATCGCCTTGCGCTCTTGCCTCCAACTGCACAAAGTTAGTGGCTGCTTCCGTGCGGAACACATGTAGCTGCTGAGCCAATTCCTCGGCAACGGCGTGTGCTTGACGTTGTTGAGCAGAGTTCTGTTCATCCATGCGAAACAAAGCTGTTTCATAGTCTCGCTTCATCTCCTGATTGACATTGTTGATGTGCCTCATGGCTAAGCATGCATGGTCACGTTGTCGTTCCAATTCTTCGATGCGAATCCCAGATCCTTCATCTTCTTGCTGCATCTCCTTGATCTTCTCCATCAGGGTCTGGACAACACCTTCGTACTCCTGCACCTGACTTCGATAGTACATCTGCTGTGCAAGATTCGATGCTTCAAATTGTTGCGGAATTGTCAATCCCTGGTAGGCATTCGGACCATCGGCTATGGCTGGTGTAGTCACTGACGAAGCGTCACCCCGTGCAGGGATTGTGTCCAGAGTCATATCCAGATCGTCAGCTTCGCGTGGTTGATTGGTAACCATTCGATTCCACGTCATGGACTTGTCACGTCCACGAGTGGCCGAAGTCCTTGATCGTGCTGAAGAGCTTCTTGAAGATGATGGTCGCGGCTTCTTTTCCAAAGTCTTCACTCCCTTGTCCTTTGCCCTCGACGGGGTCCGAGGTGCCTGAAAACCAGACGCTTCGGATCGTCGTTCTGGAGCCTTGCTCGTCCTCGAACCTGTGGATGTTGGACGCGAAGGCGTGGATGCTCTTGGTAGACTCTTTGCTTTCACTTTGCGAACTGCCTTTGCAATGGCAAGCGCAGAAGATTGACCTTTGTCATCTTCCGTGGAGCTATCAACGGATTGCACCACTGTGTCGTCAGCTGTTGACTCACCAACGGCTGGTGCTGCCACATCGGCACCGAAAGTCATTGTCGTATCTTGGCTTGATCCTGAGTTCATTGTGGTCGTAGTAGATCAAGTAGTCTTTGCTGCAGAAAGGCAGAGCCGCGTACGGCTGATAACCTGCGTGGGGATTTGATCCTGGTAATGCTCTGTATCGCTCACCCCACAAAGAGCTGTATTGACTGTTGGCGTGGTTGCCTTCTACAAGCTGGATCACCGTTACTTCCACTTCCACACACGCACTCCTATGCAGGCAGATCCAACGTTCGCTCCTTTTGCACACTCACGGCCGGCGGTGGATCGTCTGTGCACGGGATAGCTCTGTCTACTCGGAGGATCACAAAGATTATAGCACTTTAGCTATGGGCAATGCTTTCTAGAGCTTGTGCTCATTCTTGAGCCAAACGTTGCATGGGCGGTCATACTGAAAGGATGGATAGGCATTGCGGTGTGCGTAGCACTACCACAAGCCTACTCCTAGAGACGAGGGACGCGTAGCGTGCCCCCTTCCCTTGCACTTTACATGGTCTTGCTCACAGCTCTTATAGTGACACCTTGGAACTTGACAAGGCATCGCAGTCCGTTCGCAGAAACCGTAGAAGTTGCATATATTTTGTGACGGTTTCACATTGTAAAACAAAAGAGTTTTGTAAATTCCGTAGCATTTCAATCATGTTCTTTAAAACAAAGAGCCAAATTTCATCCGCGAATTTAGAGTTCTGTAGAAATTCCATTGGAATCTCCATGAAAAATACTTAAAACGATTGTAATTTTGATTGGATTATCAGCAACCAGTAATAAAATTCACTGAATACATATGGATTTTATTGAAAAATGTTTTTTTACTTGCAAAAAAACACAGACGTTTGCAGAACACACATACATTTTAGCCCAAAATCTATACATTTGTACCAAAAATGTATAGATTTTAATCAAAAGTTCATACATTTCCACCAAAAATGTATCATTTTAGGTGAAAATCTATACATTTCCACCAAAAATGTATAGATTTCAATCAAAAGTTCATACATATCCAGCAAAAATGTATCATTTTAGGTGAAAATCTAGATATTTCCACCCAAAATGTATAGATTTCAATCAAAAGTTTATACATTTCCAGCAAAAATGTATCATTTTAGGTGAAAATCTAGACATTTCCACCAAAAATGTATAGATTTTAGCCAAAAATCTATACATTTCTACCAAAAATGTATAGATTTTAACCAAAAATCTATACATTTTTACCAAAATTGTGTAGATTTTCACCAAAAATCTATACATTTTCACCAGAAATGCATAATTTTAGCCTAAAATCTATACATTCACACCAAAAATGTATAGATTTCAACCAAAAGTGCATACATTTTCACCAAAAGTGCATACACTTTCACCAAAAGTGCATACACTTTCACCAAAAGTGCATACACTTTCACCAAAAGTGCATACACTTTCACCAAAAGTGCATACACTTTCGCAAAAGTGTATACACTTTCACCAAAAGTGCATACACTTTCACCAAAAGTGTATACACTTTCACCAAAAGTGTATACACTTTCACAAAAGTGTATACACTTTCTCAAAAGTGTATACACTTTTGCCGAAAGTGCATACACTTTCGCCACAAAAGTCTTCAATGTGAGCACCCCCCAACCCCCCGACCCCTCCCTCGGTCTCTCTCTCTCTCTCTCTCTCTCTCTCTCTCTCTCTCTCTCTCTCTCTCTCTCTCTCTCTCTCTCTCTCTCTCTCTCTCTCTCTCTCTCTCTCTCTCCTTCTCTGTGACACGTGGAGCCAATTCTGCCGAAGCAATCTTTTGCACAAGATCTTTTTTTGTGCCCGCACACAGCTATGGCAAAGCCAAAGCGATCGGAGGCAGAGGAGCAAGAGGCTCCAGAGGAGGATGAGGAGGTTGAGGAGGAAGAGGAACCAGAAGGAGAAGAGGAAGAAGAGGAAAACGACGACGAGGTAGAGGAGGAGGAGGAGGCAAAGGAGACCCCAGCACCCCAGCCCAGTAAGCCAAGACCGGGGATCCTGAAGTCGGGAGGAAAGCCAGGGGGGAAGGCTGTTGCAAAGGCGAAAAGCACACCAAAGGCGAAGGCGAGCCCAGCACCCAGCAAGGCACCCGCAAAGCCAAAAGCCAAGGCCGACCCTGCCAAACCCAAAGGGCCCAAAGCGAAGGCCAAGCCGAACCCAGCAACCCCAGCAACCAGCACGCCCAAGTCGAAGTGCAAACCCAAGAAGGCCAAGACAGCACCCAAAGCCAAGGCCAAGGCCGACCCCAAGGCGAAGGCCGACCCCAAGAAGAAGACCAACCCCAAAGACAACAAGGCCAACCCCAAAGCGAAGGCCGACCCCAAAGACAACAAGGCCAGCCCCAAAGCGAAGGCCGACCCCAAAGCGAAGGCCGACCCGAAGCCAAAGCAACTCGTAAGGAAGCGAAGCATGGCAGAGGCCTTGACCGGCGACTGGATCAATGGGCTTGGGCCTGAGGAGTCCGGCGAGACTCCAGCAGAAGAGCCGGAGGAAAGCGAAGCTGGGCCGAATCGACGAGACCGCAGCAAGCAACACAAGTTCAACGTGTTGCTCGCAGCAGGAGCAGTGCCAGAGAAGATGAAGACGGAGTGGGAGGCTTTGAGTGCCGGCGGCAACGGCAAGAGGAAGAACCTGACGAAGTTTATCGAGGACTCAGTGAGTCGTGACCCCGAGACAGGGAAGCTTGCCCTCGCCTGCGAAGCCGCAGAAGTGACGGGGGAAAGCAGTCTGGAGAAGAAGCAGTCCACTGGGTGGGGAGACAAGGGATTGCCGAGAACGCTCTTTAAAGGGCGCTTTGGGTTGTCGGATGAGCAGCTCAGGGCCGCGATCTTGAATGATGAAGTCTCCGTTGTCACCCAAGACAACGTGGTGTTCTGTCAATGGCGAACCTTGAAGTCCACTTCGATGGACGAGCGAAAGAACGTGGCAAACATCAAGTCCGAGGCTCTGAGAGTCTCTGGGTCCCAAGCAGGACAACTCCAAAACCTGTTCGACAGTGTGTCGATGGAAAGGCCTGAGCCGACAGAGGAGGACCTCAGAAACGCCGCTGCCGCTGCCTCATCGGCTGCTCCGCCGACCGTGGCGGTGCCAACCATCAAAGCCATCGAGGACAAGAAGGAGGAGCCTGCCGTGCCAGCGGCCTTGTCAGAGGCCGACTGGTCGAAAGCGGACGGGCTCCTAAAGAAGGCTGAAAGCGCCGTCGAGAAGCTCAAGAAGGTCCTCGCGGGAGTATCATAGCAGTTCCCTGTGTCTTTCTTGGTGTTACACCGAGTTAGGGCAGGGAATTGCACGTCACAGTTCCAGGATGCAAGCAAACTGAGCGACAAGATCAAGCAGAACAAAGACGACCCCCTCCTCAACAAAATGCATCTTATCGAGAATCTATGTAACAGAGAGTATAGAGAGCCCATGCTTCATGTCACAGCCCCCACAAGGAAGGCCACCATCCAAGCTCTGACGGACAAGAAAGCTTTGCTGGAGCATGTGCGATCTTTCCAGGACCAGAGAGATGTGTACAAGTGTGCCTATATATATATATATGCAAATGTGTGCTGCAGGACCTGCCCGATGGCACCCGCATCAACAAGGAGAATCTCCAAACGACCCTGCTCGAAGCAGGCCACACATGCTGTGCTGAATCGGCGACCCTCTTCCCTCGACTCGCGACCCTATATACATCCGAACCCTTCTGCAGGCCAGCTGTGCAGCCAAGTGGTCGAGGAGATCACTGGCTGGAGTGGCCAGTTGAAGGCCCGTGGCCTCTGAGGCCGGCCTCTAGGGGGGTTTGGGGTCCAGCCTTGAATTTTTAAGGGCTTAGGGCTTTCAAAAGGGTTTATAAAAAGAGTTGATCCTAAACCCTCTCAGAAACAGGGATAATCATGCTAAGTATTGCCCGAAGCCTGGTCCGTCTGGGCCCTAAACCCTCCAAAGTTCGGATAATCATGCTAAGTATTGCCCAAAGCCTGGTCCGTCTTGGACCTAGACCCTCACAAGTTCGGATAATCATGCTAAGTATTGCCCAAGGCCTGGTCCGTCTTGGCCCTAAACCCGCAAAAGTTCGGATAATCATGCTAAGAATTGCCCAAAGCCCTCTTCCGTTTCAGTCTAAACCCTTCAAAACAGGGATAATCATGCTAAGTATTGCCCAAAGCCTGGTCCGTCTTTGTCCTCAACCCTCAGAAACAAGGATAATCATGAGTATTGCCCAAAGCCTGGTCCGTCTTGGACCTAAACCCTCACAAGTTCGGATAATCATGCTAAGTATTGCCCAAGGCCTGGTCCGTCTTGGCCCTAAACCCGCAAAAGTTCGGATAATCATGCTAAGAATTGCCCAAAGCCCTCTTCCGTTTCAGTCTAAACCCTTCAAAACAGGGATAATCATGCTAAGTATTGCCCAAAGCCTGGTCCGTCTTTGTCCTCAACCCTCAGAAACAGGGATAATCATGCTAAGTATTGTCCAGAAAGCCTTGCCGCAGCTGTTTTTGTTTCGAATATCAAACACCACCCAGCAGTCCCGTGTCCCTTTCTTGGTGTTACACCGAGTTAGGTCAGGGCGCAATATATCAAACCACTCCCCTGTCCCTTTCTTGGTGTTACACCGAGTTAGGTCAGGGCACAATATATCAAACCACTCCCCTGTCCCATTCTTGGTGTTACACCGACTTAGCTCAGGGCACAATATATCAAAGCACTGCCCTGTCCCTTTCTTGGTGTTACACCGAGTTAGCTCAGGGCACAATATATCAAAGCACTGCCCTGTCCCTTTCTTGGTGTTACACCGAGTTAGCTCAGGGCACAATATATCAAAGCACTGCCCTGTCCCTTTCTTGGTGTTACACCGAGTTAGGTCAGGGCACAAAATCCAAGAGCTATAACCCTACGGGCTTCAGCTTCAAAAAGGTTCAGGGGTTCAGGGTTAGAGGGTTTACTTTTTAGATGAAAATATGATCGAATAGGACATTTCCTATCTCTGATGTTCTGATGGCCGGTTTGGGGCCACCACCAAAAAAAAGAGGACCACAAGTGCTGGCATCGCAGCAGCCGCCAGTGAACTGCCAGGCTCCAGATTGAGAGTTTGGCTCCTGGAACAGTTTGCATGGGGCCTGCTATCACCACAGCAGGTGCAAGCAATATCTGCTGCAGCATTGCATGATGCCAGAGAACGAACTGTGACTGACCTCGAGCCCCTCGCCAAGCTTGGAAGCTCCGGTCAACACAGCAACAATGTCAACAGGGACTTGATGAGATTGGTCGGGCAGGAGCCACTGATGTACAATCCCAGTCGCACCACTTTGCGAAAAAATGCTTCTGAAGTGCCCGTGCCCGTCGACGGAGTGCCCAGCGACGAGCATGCCTACACCATCAGCCTGCCACACGAGTTATTTAGCAGCCTCTACCACAATTACAAGGCAGCATGGAAACAAGTGATCATGCCTGGACAGGCGTTTTTGGATCGCTTTTGGAAGTCGGCCAGAGGGCTGCCGCAGTGGGAGGGCCACCCACTGGCATCGGAGCCATCCCATCAGGTGAGAAAAATCATACCATTATCATTGCACGGGGACGAAACACCGGTGCTGGCCAAGGGGAAGATTTGGTCCTCTTCAGCCTTAGTGATGTCATGGGCTTCCCTTTTGGGTAGCGGCTCCACGAAACAAAGCCAGCTCTACATCTGGGCCGCCTGGCACAAGTCATTCTCCAAAGAGACGAATGATGACCTCTGGAGTCTTTTACTCTGGTCTTTCGAAGCCTTGTGGTCCGGCGTTTTCCCGAAAAAAGACTGGCGAGGATATGATTTCGATCCCCACAGTCCCGAGGGACAGCGAGCTGGCCAATACCTCGCGGACGGCTATAGAGCTGTCTTGGTGGCTAGCTGTGGAGACCTGGACTACATGGCACAGTTCCAGGGCCTTCCCCGGTGGAATTCCAATTCCCCTTGTTGCTTGTGCCAGTGCCAGAAGAAAGGAGACCGCAGTTGGCACTGCTTTGCGGAGGATGCCGCATGGAGGACAACTCTGTGGACCCTGCTGCTTGGAAAGCATGGCCGAGCCGAAGCATGAACAGGATGTTCCAGAAGGACCTCTGCTCTGTGCTGGTGGTCCATTTTGACCTGATGCTTTGCCGGTACCTTGGCTATCTCCAGCAGCTCTATGGATCGGTTTTTTGGGTCCTCTGTGAGGAGACGATGCATGGGAGTCCAAGCGACAATCTGCATGAACTCTGGGGTTTTCTGAAGACATACCAATCCACCCACAAGGTGCACAGCCCGTACTCCCAGAGGCTGAACAAGGTCAGCATGTACAAGAAGAAGACCGACTTTCCGAAGCTTCGTGGAAAAGCGGCGGAGATCAAGGACATGGCAGCAGCCGTGCGGGCAATGTGGGGTCATTTTGGTGTTCCTGGTCAGGACTTCCAAGAGATTGGGTTACTCTTGGATTTGACATGCAAGTTCGAGGAGATACTGGAGGAATGGCCCATTGCAGACGGCTATTTCTGCCTTCCTGCCGAAGCTGCAGACAGACTGAAGACGAACTTTCGGGACTTCGCATGTTTGTATGTCATGGTCGGGGATCGCTTTCGCAGCGAAGATCGTCGGGCCTTCAATCCTACGGAAAAGATTCTCTTCTTCCGGAACAATGCATGTTTTTCACATTTGTGGCTATAACACAAATCCTGCAACCCTTAAACCCTATAAACAGCCTTTTTCTAAAGCCCACAAACCTTTTCTTCCAGAGACATATAGAAGGATGCATGCCTGCGAGCATATCGTCATGCTCAGTCACTTGATTCATCCTGGCCTCACATCTTGCTGGCGAGGGGAGGACAGAAATGAATGGTCTCCTGCTTTATAAACACGTGCTCGCACAATCCAAAGGGTTTTTTTTGTGTAGAGGTTTCATATATGTGGGTCCTAGGACTTATATATAGAGAGGGCTTCAAGTCTAAACGATTTTGGGTTTCGGGGCCCTCGAGGACTACATGTCCAAGCTCGGCACTCTGATGGCTTCCTGCTGTCGTGGTGTTCAGCGAGAGGAGGCGAGCCACAAGCTGAACCTGAAGATGAGGCTTGCACTTCACCTGCAGTGGCAGAAGCTGTCGTGACCTCTGTTCTCTGCTCTCCTGGTCCATTTTGACAGATGAGATCTCCCCTGTTCCTTTCTTGGTGTTACACCGAGTCAGTGGGGAGATCCACAAAGCAAACGCCCCTGTCCCTTTCTTGGTGTTACACCGAGTTAGGTCAGGGCGCAATATATATCAAACCACACTGCCCTGTCCCTTTCTTGGTGTTACACCGAGTTAGGTCAGGGCACAATATATCAAAGCACTGCCCTGTCCCTTTCTTGGTGTTACACCGAGTTAGGTCAGGGCACAAAATCCAAGAGCTCTCATCGCTCTCGCGGAAAAAAATTCGCAGTGCACAGAGGCCTGCCGCACAACCCTTTTAAACCCTCTCTATAGAAACCTGTAAATCCTGTGAACCCTATAAACCCTCTATAAGCCACAACAAAAGGAAGACTCTGTTTGCATCTCTCTGGCAGGCTCCATCATCCTGGACGAGGTTTTGGTGGCCAGCTGTGGAGACTTGACGGTGCTCAGCAAGGGGAAAATTTGGGACTGGGCTTTGGCCCACTTTTGGCAAAGGCCTGCTCCAAGGGTTTACAGAGTGTGTCTTTGCAGTCCCACGAAAGAAGATTCAGAGTGCTCTCTGGCAGGCTGTGGCTGTGGTTTTGAGCTCTCCAAAGCAAACTCCCCTGTTCCTTTCTTGGTGTTACACCGAGTTAGGTCAGGGGAGGGCTATGGAGGTTTTGGCACAAATCAAGAAGGCCTGCTCGAAGGGTTTACAGACTGTGTGTTTGCATTCCCACAAAAGAAGATTCAGAGTGTGCTCTCTGGCAGGCTCTGGCCGGTTTTGAGCTCTGGAACTTTCTGAAGACATACCCGTGTTGCTCCAAAGCAGCACACACTCCTGTGACCTTTGTTCTCTGTTCGCCTGGTCCATTTTGACAGATGAGATCTCCCCTGTTCCTTTCTTGGTGTTACACCGAGTCAGTGGGGAGATCCACAAAGCAAACTCCCCTCTCTGTTCCTTTCTTGGTGTTACACCGAGTTGGGGGAGGTTTCTCGCACTTGGAGGAAGCACTCTCATCGCTCTCGCGAAAAAAAGATGTCGTCGCAGTGCAGTTTCGAAACCTGTGACACATCGCGACTTCCAATGTGAAGAGCATCGCATGCCTCATTGTGTGAGAAGCTTTCGCACAGCGAAACTGCGAACAGCTCTCACACATTATATAAAGCAGCAGGAAGTTTTGACCGACGAGATGTGAGGGCACACGCACAGAGAGTGAGAGAGAAACAGGGAAAACACACACGAACCCTAAGCCCTATACAGACCTTTTTGGCCCTAAACCCTATAAAACCCTACAGACCTTACACACCCTCTCATTCTTTGGATCAAATTTTCGGCTACAGACCTCACCCTAAACCCTAAAATTTATAATTCTTGTGGCTCAAGTTTTTGGCTCAAATAGAACAGAGGAGCTCTCCTCCACAAAGATGTGCTGGTGCCTCGAAATTCTGTCACTGAAACCTCGAAAAAAGTTCTTCTGGCTCAAATGTGTGGCTCAAAAGAACAGAGGACTCTCTCTCTCCTCCACACAAACATGTATATACATCTCTTGGTTCTGCTTGTTGTTATGTCGGCCGCATTCTTCAGTGGAGACAACAAAATCTTGTTTTTCGTGTGTGTGTTTCGTCCAAATGGCATTGGGAAACACATGGAAACACAAGCACAACGGAACTTTGTGCCAGTAATCTCGGCTGCAAATGTACCGAAACAGAGTGTAATTCGGAGAACATGGGTGTATAATTTACACGTTTTGGCGTGTAATTTACACACCCAAATTTACACGAAAACGTGTAAATTTCAGGGATAGATTTACACGTCAAAAACGTGTAAAAAATTAAAAAAATGTAAAATGTAAAATTACACGCAAAGGATCTATCAGGTATAGAGCATCTCAGGGCCGTGTGCAACACACACAGCTCGCAGAGCTGTCTGTGTGAGTCCGCGCTGTGAGTGCGCTCCCACGTTGAAAGGAACTGGCGGGATGAGGGAGCTATGTAAGAGCCACTGGCTCTCGTCTCTTGAAGCAAAAACTGAGATTCACGAAAGCGCGGCACGTGGACAGAGGCCGCTCGCAGCAGACACTGTCTGCGAGGCTGTCTGTGTGCATCTGAGGGCCCTTAGGGATTCGCAGCGGGCCCTTACACCAAAAAGTCTGCCATTCGCACACAATTTGAAGCCTAAAACTGCCTGCTCACACTGTGAGTCACGCGGTGAAATCGAATCTCTGCTGGTGCTGCTCAGAGCTGAGAAAGCAACGGCTCCTGCGCTGCAGCCAAAGGTGCCACCTGCGTCTTGGAAGCACGCACAGGCACACGTCATGGACTCAGAGGGCGCGTAGCAAGAGAGTGGCCCATAGTATGGGTTGCGCATCACGGACGCGCGAGGACTTGCTTGCTGGAGCCCTCCGAGTCTGCAACTGTCATTATAGACACTGTCCAGTTAGAAAACCGGGCGTAGAGAGGCCGCAGACACTGTCCGAGCGCTGGGCTGGACCGGCGGTAGCCCAGGAAGCACACAGAGGCGAGTTTGCTTACGAGCAAGCATTTGCTTGGGGCGACGCGCCTCGTCAAGGCAGGGCATGAGGCACTGCAACTGCCAAGCCTGCTTGAGATGCCTGCGGTCCCGGGCACTGCCTTGGGATGACCAATATAGGCCCACTCGTGCAGCAGTGGCGCTGCCACAGGAACGCACGCTGTCTGCCCATCGACCCGAGAGTGCTTTGTGGGCACTGCCCTTAAAAATGGCTGCATGACCACTGCATCGCTTCCCTAGCAGGTTGAGCACTGCTCGAAACTGCTGGGGTGTGCCGCAGCGGCAGCAGGGCTTGGCGCGTACTCCACACAAAGACCCATGACCGACGTCAAGCGTGGCCTAACTGTTTGCTAAACAGTACGGAGCCCGCATGAAGGTCGCAGGCCTCAGGGCGCTGCGCTGAGGTTTAGGATGCGAAGAAACGGCAGCACTGCTGCCTGCTTGTCGACAGCCCTGCTGCACAAAACTGGAAGCCCCGCAACAGCAACAGCCGGACTCCGCACCAAGATCTTGACGGGCAACAGGCACCGCCATCACTGATTACTCAACAGTGAGCAGCATGCATGAAGATCTCAAGCCATGAGGCACGCGACCTGCACTAAACCTGGCCGTTTGTTTACTAAACGGGAAGGAACGTGCATGAGGACCGCACGCTCCGCCTGCACTCCTCGGGGCGCTGCCCTGAGGTTTGTGTTAAAGAACGGGCTTCACTAAGGGTTCCTACCCACAAAGACTGTCGGACACTTTTGTTCCTGGGCACGGTGTGTCCTGGGGTCTCGAGCCTGCACGTCGCGTGTGCGTGACGGCTGTTCCTGTACATTAACTGTACTGCACTAGCTGTGTTACTGTTCCTGGCAGAATGTTTAACACCCCGCCTTCGGAGTTAGCGAAAGTTCCTCGACTGAGGTGACTCCGACTTTTCCTGACAAACAGTAAACACGCTGCAGTTCCTTTTCACTTGCAAAACAAACACTGTTCCTCATCGCAAACGTATGCGCACGTTCACTCGCAATCCTCTCCAAGGTTGCTCGACTGTACAAAAGACGTTCCTGCACTTTACCTAGATCACCACAGAAACAAAAAGGGCTGTGCCACGGTTCCTGTGTCCTGCTGCTTCTTTCCTCGGCTCTCTGGCCTCAGTACTGCTCGCGGTTCCTTTTGCTTCACTGGAAGTTCACTTTGCCTTCCTCTTCGCTGTCTTTAGCTTCCTCTTGGTCGTGAAGCTGTTCCTTTAGCCACTCTTCTTTCATCTTTGCTTGCGCTTTGCACTTTTCCTTTCCTTGCTTGTCCTTTGACGCTGCTTTCCAACCTGTTTCCTTTGATCCTGAATACCAGTACCACTGTGCCTTGGATTCGTTCCACTTCCACTGGTATTTCCTGTTCTGGAAACTGTAGACTGCAAACCAGTTTCCTTCAAACTCTCCTTTTCCTTTTCCTTTCATGAACGATGCTTCGTTCACTGGTCCTTTGGCGGACAGTTCTGGGTCGTCCTTGTCTTCTTCCTTCTGCTTGTGCTGTGTGACGTTCGGTGGCTCCTTTCCTGTTGCTTTTCCTGTTCCTTTTGCTTCTGGCTTCTCCTCTTCCTTTGCTGGTGTTGTGTCTGGTTCTGTGGGTGCCTGCGACCCGGCTGCTGATCCTCTGCTCTCAAGCTCCTGTGTAAGGCTTGCAATCCTTTCTTTATCCTCTTTGCGTTCCTTCATCATCTCCTTCATCATTTCTTCAAGCTTCTGGATCCTATCTCCTTCACCTGATCCTGTTGCTGTTGTTGCTGCTGCCTTCTTTTCTCCTTCCTTCTTGGCAATATACGCTGACGCTGCCTTTTGATCTTCCTCTCTTTTCTTCCTGGCTTCCTTCTCCTTTCTTTTCTTCTCCTGCTCCTTTCTTTCCTTTTCCTCTTTGGCTGCTGCGGCTGCTGCTTTCTCCTCTGCCTCCTTTGCTGCTGCCGCTTCGGTCTCCTCCTTTTCCTTTGCTTCTCTCTCTGCTTTGGCTTTGGCTGCTGCTTCTAC